CGCGCGCGTGAAGCCCTCGCCGCGGCGCTCGAGCTGTCCCGCGTGCCTGCCGCGCAGTGGCCCTGCCGTGGCCCCTGTCCTCACCGGGCCACTCTGTGCTTCTCCGCTACCGTGCAGGGTCGGGGGGTGCGGGGGTACCCCGGGATGGCGGCCCGCTGTCCGACAGCTGTCTCGCGTTTCACCCGGCGGGCAGCCCGTCTGCCGGGGGGCACGGGGCCGACAGTGAGAGCAGAGGGGTCGCCCCCGGGGGGCTGTGTGACAGGAGGGGAGAGGGCCCCTCTGGGACTCGGCTCTTACCCGCGGTCACACCGGTGGAGACAGATCGATCGATCGATCGCCTCGTCACAGAGGAAGCGACAGTTTTCCGGTTGTAGCTGGGAATGCGCTCTTGTGTTGAACATGAAAGTGGTGGTTAGACGGGAAATCACACATCAGGACCAGTAAGAAACTTGCACTCGGCGCCAAGACTTGGTTTAAACTGTGACATCTATGAATCAGTTTTTAAAGATATAGAGAGAGAGACCCTTTCCTCCGGTTGTTTTGGAGCTTCTGGAACAGATTCTGAAAGTGAAATCTGCGCTTACTCGAAGTCAAAGGTGTGATTCGTGCAGCGCGAAGTGTCAGAGACCGCGCGCAGCACGCGCCGCCCAGAAAGGTCACCGCTGCAGAAGTGGCTCCCGCGGGCGCGAGGGGAGTTAGAACTTCGTCATTTAAAACCAGGACTTATTCTGCCCTGATAACCGCCGTGCATGGCGGCGGGACCCGAGTCCGAGGCGAACGACCCGCCGCCGCGCGGCGCACGTGCTCCTGACTCCTCACTGACAGGCGCGAGAGCCGCGGGACTCCCAGCGAGCGCGCGCGGCCCCGCGGGCGCGCGGCCCGCCAGAGCTCAGTCTGGAGCAGCGTGATGATGACAGGGAAACAGCCGAGAGCTCCGTCCGTGCCCCCTGCTTCAGGGAAACACGATAAACACTTACATTTATCAGTTAAATTCCCTGGGAAGGAATATACTTTTTTTAAAAAAAAAAAATCTAATAGGTTAACAGAATTACCGCGTTGGAATATCTAACCAAAATATTTGCTTCTCTCCCCTCTCGCACAGTATCTCGAGTGTGATTTCCGTGTTGTTAAGTCCCCCCGAGACGCGCGATTGATAGCTAGAGCCCATCAGGACGGAAAATCTCTCCAGATGCGCCGTGAGAGTCTCTCTCCGCTAGCGCCGTCCAAACGCAGTCCAGCCTGTCCGGGACCCACCTGGGACTCATGTCTGCCCGGGCGCAGACGCTTTTCGCTGGGCCTCCTGGTCCGGAGCTGACCGCCGCCGCCCGTCCGTCAGCCCCGCTGTCTCCTCGCCAGACGTCAGCCCGCGCCTTGCTCCTGCCCTGCCGCTTGCCCGCTCGCCGTCCTCCTGTGCAGCCTGAGCTCCGGCGCTGCTCCGCCGTCATTGTGCAGCGCAGCGCAGCGCAGCGGCCCGCCGCCTCAGCGAGGGTGCAGCGCCACCCAGCGGCCAGCACGCCCAGTGCCTCAATGTCGCCTAAAGGGGTGTCCGTGAGCCCCACTCAAGTCGCGCTTATAACGTGGCGAAGGTGCACCGTGCGGGACTAGACTTCAAGCGTACTCAGGTGAGCTACCCCCCTCCACAGCCCCCACATCATCCACGCACGCCCTCTGAATGGCCCCTTCATCATCTCAATCATATTCTAGATCGACAAAAATGTCCACATTCAGAATGTACAGAATTACTCATTAACTGCAGCTCTTGTCAGCTCTGGGGAGTGGCTCTGAGGTTCCCCCAATGCCCAGTCAGTCCGTGTGTGGTCATCGCCTCGTCCAGTCTGAGCCCGGAGCCCTGTCTAGAGCTGTACCGACGTCCAGTTGTGGGGGGGATTTTATTTTCAGCATTAGAAGTCATTTCTTTTTGCCGTAAAAGTACAGGTCTACAGAATTCACACACACCGGCTGGGGGGTCCGGTTCGTCAGATCTGTCTCATCCCGAGTAAAATAACGTCGAGCAGGTGAAAAACACAGACTGGAACAACTCGGCGCGCGATACAGGAGGAGCCCGGCCTGCTCTTGGAATATGCCACGTGCTCTGTTACATTGCGTGTTGAGGGAAAATAATCCACTACAGGAACAGCTTGCTCGTGTAGGGGCTTACGATTTAAAATCAAAAAGAAATTGGGGAAAGAGAG